GTCACATAGTATATTTGAGTTATTTTAGCTATAGATAGTTTCTTAGTAGAATTTCTCTTTTCTCTTGTTCTACTAATGTATTACTTGATTTATATATTTTATTTATAATCATTTATTTCTTTATTTATTCATTAATAAGTATCTTCTGAAGGTACTACTATATAAGTATTATCTATTATTAATTTATTTATTTTATTATTAATTTTTATGTAACATTAATTTATTATTTAAAGATGTTGCATCTGTTCTGTAATTTTAAGTATTAAAGTATCAATACATTGAATAAAGAATAAGTTTTAAACATAATTTCTTATCTGCTTTTGATTTAGTTTTCTGTGTGAATTCTATTTCAAATAATATCATTATATATCTTGAATCTTCTTTGTAAATTTTTCTGATATAATATTATATTCTAACTTTTCTGTGTGAATTATCTGGATATATTATACTATGTAACTAGAAGATTATATTTATATTATTTTAATCATATAATATATAATAAGAAAGTTAATAAAATTTAAATTAATAAATTATTTTTAATATTTTAGTTATTATATTATTATCTTTCTTATTAATAAAAAAATATATATTTATATTCTAATAATCAAAATTATTTTAAATATATAAGATAAAAAAATATTATAAATACTTATTAATATTATATATTAAGTTTATAAGAATTAGTTATTCATAATATTATAATTTTTTTAATTAATTATAATATATAAAATAGAGATCTTGCAATACTTTTTATAATTATTACATAATCTCAAAGTATTTAACTTGATAATTTTTATTGATTAAAAATTTTAAAATATACTAAATATCAGATTCAAGATCTTTTTTATCTATAAGATATTTAGTTAGTAATTTATATATATTTTATTGAATATTTATTATTTTAATTTAATATAATTTTTAAATAATAGTGTTAAGTCTTTTATTTACTGCAAATTTTTTAATTATAATAATGATAATTAGTAATTTATATAATTTATTTATTTTATTAGTTACTAACTATTTAATTACTTCTGATTAGAGATATTATCTTAATTAATTATAACTTATGATAGCTAATCAAAGAATTTGATTAATTATGATAGCTAATCAGAGAATTATAATCAAGTTATAATGTTATCTTTATTTTTGATTATTTTATTTGATCAATATTTTTAATTTAATATATATAATCTAAAGTATTTTTATAATATTTAATTTATATTATTTATATTATAATTAAAGATATTATAATAATTAATTATAATTTGTGATAGTTAATTAGAAAATTGTAATTAATTATAATAATTAATCAAAAATTATAATTAAGTTATGATATTATTTTAATAATGAGAGTCACAATTAGTTATAACTCTGTTGCAATTCTCTAATTAGCTATTATAATTCTGTTGCAATTCTCTAATTAGCTATCGCAAGTTATAATTAGTTAAGAAGCTATCTTTAGTTATGATAATATATATTATTTTAATTTTTATATTATATTGATTGAGATCATATTTACTTATCTTTCTTTTCTTTTAACTAGAATTTCTGCTTTCTGTATACTGAATTTGTAATACTTTAAGAGATAATAGATATAAATAATTCAAAAATTATTATTAAAAGATTATTAGTTATTATATTATATTCAGATATTAAATACAAATAGCTATAATTTTTCATGAAATTCCTTTTCAAATACTTTAAAAAAGTTATTAATATTAAAAAGATTTATATATTTTTAATTAATAATTTCTTGTATTTTAAAAGTCTTATTTAAAATATATAAATATATATATAGTTTAGTATAAAAAGATTGATATATTAAATAAATATTAATAAATTATTTTTTCAAAATAAAATTTTAATTCTATCTTATCTAATTTTTTAAATTCTAATAAATTTAATAATTAATTTAATAATTAATTTAATATTTATTTTTATTATTAATTTTAAAATATTAAAGAAGCTATATATAAAACTATTTATTAAAAAATAAAATTTTATATATACATATCCTTATAATATATTATCAGAAATTTCAAAAATGAAACTATCATTTTGAAATCTAATTTCTTGTAATCTAATGATTTTATTTAAATAAAAATATTATCATAAGATTCATGGAATTGTAACAAATTTAATGAAGTATTTTTATTTAAATTAGATTATTGAATTTTGAAATATTGGATTTTAAAGTGACAGATTTATTTTTAGAATTTCTGATAATATATTGTAAGAATGTGTAATTTTTTTAAAGAATTAATAATTTATAACTTATATTATTTAATTTTATAATATAATAAATTAAATAATAAACATTATATTTAATTTTAATATAGAATTTTAAAATATTTTTAAAAAGAATCTATATGCAATTATTTATAATAAAAATAATAAAATATTAATAATAATTATAAATTTTCTATTATAATACAAATAATAATTTTTTAATTATAAAAATATTTAAATAATTTTAATGAACTCTAATTTTAATTACAAGATATAATTTAAATTTTCAAATTAAATATTAATTTGGATCTAATTAAAAAATTATAAAATTTATAATTCAAACTGAGTTGAAATTTTGAATTCAGATTGATTAAAGCTTTTAATATTAATATTTATTATTTAATATCATTTTATAAGAATATTTATTTGATATTTATTAAAAATTATAATCAAATCTCTTTAATATACTTAAAAAAATAAAATTTTGATAATTATAAAGAGATATAACTATAAAAATATTTCAAAAAAGTTAATTATAAAAAAAATATAATTATAAAAAAATATAACTATAAAGAAATATGATTATAAAGAGATCGAAAAATTTTAATTTTATTATTTAATAATTAAAATAATTTACATTATTAACTTCTTGATTAAACTTATTATAACTTTTTCTAAATTCATTTTTATCTTTAAATAGGATATTATAATTAATCAAAATATAATCTATAATCACATTTTTTTATAATTATATTTTTTTTATTATTTAATTTAGTTTTCCCGTTATTAATTTAACTTTTCAAGAGTAGTAATTATAAAGAATTTTTAATTTTATGTTATTTAAAATCAAGTCTTATAAATGTTAATGTTCTAATTTATTTTAAACAACAAAATTATATTTTTTATATAAAATTAAAAAGAAAATTCAAATAAAATATAAAACTTGAACATCAATATAAATTTGATAATTCACTAATAATTTCAAAAGAAGAATGAATAAAACAAGAATATCAAAATAGAAAATAGTAAATAGAAGTGAAAAATTGGTTGACAAAAATTATATTTATTAATGATTAGTAAGAATATTGAAAACTGGTAATAGTTAAAGACTGATTTTCTTTTTATACAGTATAAGCTACGCCAACGGATTATAGTATTGAATTAATCCTATACTTTCCCTTTATAGTATTAGTGAATGCATTGCACGTACGATAATAGCATTAAACAAAAGTTATTGTGTAATTGTTATTGGGATCTTAATAACGATAGTGGTGACAACTCTTTGCTCACGTGTTAGTCTATCATTTTCTATCATTGAGGGATTGAAATTCCGGTTATATTTGCTAACTTAAAAAAAAAAAAGCAATTATTATTTTATATCTTTATATATACTAGCCTAAATCGCTTTTTTTGGGCCATTGACAATTGTCTTTTTGTCACAAATAATAGGCCGATATAAATTAATAATTACAATATATACTCGGCAATAAACGAGATGTACCCTCTTTTTTTTTCTAGATATTGTTCAGAGAATTGATAAAGAAGAAATGATATTGAGCGACGATGATAATAATAAACAATAAGAAAGAAATTCAGGTCGCAATTTTGTTTTTCGTTGTCTATATACCGGTTACCATCGACATAAAGACAAGAATCAGGCGTAAGTTATTGACAAACTTTATTTTTCTATTCGAGTCTCGCTATTTGTTATTATTACTTTAGATGCAGCGAAGTGTAAGGTTGTGTTCCCGACATGTTTTAGTTAGTGATTTCTATTATTAAAAATTACACGAAAGTGAAAAACGTATCTTTTTTGTTTTAATTGTTAATTAACTCGTTAGTTGTCACATTTCCCCATTTCTTCAAATCTGACATTTTTTCAAAAATGTCGGTATTTGCAGCACGAGGAAGTCGGCCTTGCTTACTGATTTGTTTATTTCCCGTCTCTCATCTAAAGATAGATGTTTCTGTCGCGTGATCTGTCAACATAAAATCATTTTATTCATCACATACCATAATAACCGACCAAGCCTCATCAAAATCAATAATATTATTTATTCTAGAGAATAGCATCAATCAACTACCCCCAAAAAAAGATACACAAGACTTTCACACCCACCAACCACATACATTAAGAAAAAAGAGAAAAGGTCAAGAGTTGTAAGGTAGCTAGATAAGCAGCGCGCTCTTTACCAAGATCTTTTTTCTTCTTTTCTTAATTATTCTTGGTACAGTGGGCCACTGGCTGGTCCTGCATTCGGTATAGGTACTCAGTCATTCGTTTCTTTCTCTTCGTCGTCTACTACTTGAGAGAGTTGTATTTCTACTTCTCTTTTGACTTTAAAATAATTATTTTATTCGTTAATTAACAAACGAACGACTACTACATCTTTCTCTTGCCTACTCACTTGTATATTATCAGAAACAAATTCTCATTCTTGGCTTCTATTACTGCTACTACCAATATTACTATTATTTCCTCGTTTTGGGCTCTTGAACGCTTCTGAAATATTATCTTTAATTTCCGTGCGTAACTTTTCGTAACTCTTGTGATTTTTTTGACTTCTTCTCTCCAGTTATTCATATTAATAATTTTCTCTCGTCACTAATTTTTTCGAATACCAATTGCACGTCTGCAGCCCAGTTCAACAACGCGCTTTCAAAGACAAGCAGCAGCGATAACTAAAACGCCACCTTCCTGTAGATATCGTCACTTCAATTTTAATTCTAACACTAAAATAAACGGGTAATTAGAATGATTAAAATGGACGCCGGCGGTGTGCAAGTTCAACATCAACCGTCAAACCAATCTTGGAGAAACGGTGGTGGTGTTAATGGTAATGACCAAAATAAACGTAATAACGGCAGCAACGGCGGTAATAATAAAACAAGACCGGCAAACTTAAAGTCTATTAATGTTGAGCACGCTCAAAGTATCTTGGGAACTAGTTCCAGGTCGGTATCTTCAGCAGCAGCAGTTGCTCCTCCTAGAACTCCTAAATCTGCACAATTCTCAAGACAAAATCAACAACAACAGCATCAACAACAAATTTATGTCGTTAATAAAAATACATCACCCTCATCATCCTCATATTACAAATTGAGTTCATCACAATCAGTAAACTTATCAGGATCTCCTCCTCATATTCCTCAAATGTCTAACTTTCTACAACACCAACAACAACAACACCACTCTTCTAGGTCTTCACCACCTCAAAATGTATTTATTTCGAGGTCTCCACCCAAATCAGTATCACCTTCCTCCTCATCTAACGGCTCACTGAACGGCAACAATAACAATAGTAATGCTATTAACGCTGCTTCTACCGCTGTTCAACTTTCCCCCTCAAAACAAAAATCATCGATGAGTAACTCAGCGGGTAGACCAACGCCGAAACCTCTTAATCTATCAAAATCCACCGCAGTCCAAGTCTCGAATTTCAATAGAGGCCCGCAAACAGCGACTTTTGCTCCCAAGGTCAGTCGAGCACTAAACCTTCCTCAACCTCCGAAAACGGCCACTTTTTCAAAGTCAACAGGTTTTCCCAAGGAGCTAAGACAGGCAACCGCTGTTAGAGTATCACAACAACAGCAACAACAGTTACAACAATCTGCACAGATGCCTCAAGCGTATGCATTTTTATATGGTGATCAAACATATATTCAAGCAGTCCCCGAGTCTCCACGACTACGACGCTATAGTGCTACGCCAGCTCCACTTCGATTTGTCACTTCTAATTATCGTCAAGTCGAATTAGGTCCTGGTACTCCTGTGGTTGTTCTTAGTCATCCGGAGGATTCCGATTCACAAGAGTCATCTCCCCCGACTCCTGGTTATTTACCAGAAGGTTATGGACCTGATATTTATGACTTTTATCAACTGACTTATGAACCGGAAGAAATCGAGGATAATCACTTATATTATTACTATCCTGAGTATCAGCAAGATTATGTTCCCCAAACTCCAACAGGAACATCTCAACCACGCACTTATACTCTTCCTACCACATCAAAGGATCAAAGACGTAGAAGGTAAATATTTTTTATTTTTTTAGGCAAAGAAAAAAATTAACAACGTTTCAAATCATTTAATAATTATTATCATACAATATTTTTTAGTGTCATTGGTGGCCCAATGAAAGTTCATCCTGATGCTGTTCTTCCAATCCGGCAGCCAAAAGGTCCAGATATGGCAAAAAACTTTGCCACGCGTATTCGTCGTAAAGCAGTCAACAAGTTGTACGCGGCTGCCGCTGAAAGACGAAGTAAATCCGCCGCTGATCGGAGAAAGTCCGCAATGTTTTGATTGCATGTAATTTTTTCATATTTAGGATTAGGTTTGTTTTAGGCTTATTTGTTTTTATTCTATATTTTTTTTTTTTTTTACTTCTCGTTTTTTTTTATTCATCTATTCATTAGACAAAAAAAAATCTGTAAGTTATACATATTTCATCTTGTGACATAGTTAGTAAATTATTTAGTGATAGTAATTAGCAGCAACGACGACAATCAACAAACAACAGCAGTAGTAATAGTAATATGGTGTAGACTATTCCTGATCGCATTCATTCATTCATTTTAAGTTCTTGTGATTATATATTAATACGGATACGAGAAACTGATGATGTTTGTGCATTTTTTTGTTTGTTTTTTATGTATGCGTCGTCGTCGTCGTTTGATTAGGCTGTTTTTCTTCCTATATATCTGTTGTTATTATCCTTAATTATTATTCCTTATTTTGTAAAGCAATTTTTCCCCCCCTTTTTTTTTTCTACTATTTGTAAAGAACAATCAATGGTCTTGAGAGAAAAACAGAAATCACATTATTATAAAAAATAATATATACATACACAAATATATTTATACATATCGATACATTTTACCCGTTCTAAACGACCGTTTATTTTCTCCGTAATTGATACTTATACAATAATGCAAAATGTACATCAACCAATTCACCTAATGCTGACTGGAGAAGATATAATCCATGATTTGATTTACAATTATTAAAAAAAATAACTTGACTTCGAGTCAAATATTACATATATTATTATACATAACAGATATATACATCTAACCTTAATAAGATATTTGCTAGCAAAATAATAATAATGATAATCATTATAATATATATATGGTAACAATAAAATATAAACAAATAGATTACTATAAAACAATGTCCAACCAGAGTAGGAAGTCCTCTTAATTTTCCAGTATCCACAACACCACCACCACAATTGTCATTTTTAAAGTATTGGCCATTTAGATTTCAATTGTCCGATCCATCTCGGATACAAAAAATCTGAAAATGTTAATCTTGGTGATTTTACGGGTTCTGTTTCCGGAGTGGTGGTTGGTTCTTCAATTTGAGCTTCGTTTGTTGCTGACGCGGAAGATGGTGATGACGTTGATGATGATGATGATGATGGTAACATTTCAGTATTTAGATTTTTGCTGTTTATCTTTTTCGAGGTAGCAGATAATTTTGTGGCGATTGCAGCAGTGCTACTTGAAGTTGCAAAACTTTCAGCGGAAATTATTTCAAGCTCCGTTAATTTTTCTGTCAAAGGTGTATTACTATAAGATAATTACGATATTGAGTCCATCATACGACAATATCAAATAATATGGCATCCTACATATAATTACTAACCTTTTTAATCTCGATAAAATTTCCACCAAAGTTACGACTATGAGATCAGGGTTTATGTGATCCAAATCCTCAATCCCTTTTCCAATCATGCTTAACGCTTCAATCTCCGAGGTTCGGAGTTCACTAGACTTGATGTTTGATATTGATGGTAAAATCACCTCATTTACAAGTTTTCTACCAAAAACGCCTTCTTCGGAAACAGGCACAGCAATCGGCACGTCTCGTGGGTAGATCGAGAGTGACGTTGATGAGGTGTCGGTTGAAACACTAGCAGCACTATATCTTCTATGACCACGCACAATCCTGTTATCATTAATTGAGGAATGGAACAGATATTTTAATAAGAAATCTTTTTATCACTATTTGATTACGATTGAAATTTAATCTTACCCGTCAGTGTCATTCAATAAGTCCACTGTGGAACTGGGTGATGATGATTGCTCGATTGGTGTTTGATGAAATTCCGGTATTTCTGTCGTATTCTCGACATTCTTCGATTACAGAAACACGTTAATTCATTATATTTAACAATTCTTTATTGAGCTATCAACTAACCTTGAAAGCGGATGCCTTTATTGTCGCTTGATCAATTTCAGTTTCATCCTAGCATCGGGAAAAATATTAATTTTCACTTTCATGATTGTGATGATAAATTAAGATGTTATTATATACATACCGATGACTCATTCTCGATAATTTTAATATTTGATGGTTTAATAGGCTTAATGGTATCCGCGAACCCATTTTCAAATTCGCTTGTCAAAGCGTTTTCATCATTAATTTTTGCAGTTCCTCTTGTCAAAGCGCTTTCATCGATAATTTTTACAGTTCCTCTTGTCAAAGCATTTTCATCATTAATTCTTACAGTTTTAGGTGCTTTAACAGTTTCAAAGTTCCAACGAAGGTTTACGGATTCTTTTTGGATAGTTCTAAAAAATCAAAAGGTTAATTATTTAATTTCTAAGTGTAAATAGTCAGAAGAATAAATAAAAATTTGCTGACAATGTTTTCAAGAATTTTTCTGCCGCCCTATGAGGACCATTATTTTGCCAAAAGGAATATCTGTCAATAAGTTCTTGTAACTGCGTTGTCATTCGTGCATTCCTTATAAATCGATGCCGCAATAATTCTTTTGCGGGTGGTCGCTTGATGATTATATTTTAAAAATTGTACACATTTATTATTAAAATAACAGGTGAAAACATGAACCTTCATAGACTGTTTGTCATACATTAACCAATTGATAACAACTTACGTCATTGGGATTCTTTATTAAACAAAGACTAACAAACTCTTTGAATGCGCTGGAGAAGTTTCCTTCTAATACGGGAGGCTTTGCTTTAGGAATAAGGAAGAGAACTCGCATTGGATGATACTCGGCCAATGGTGGTTCCCCTTTCGCCATTTCTATGGCGGTAATGCCAAGAGACCATATGTCAGCCTGATAAACAAAACTCCGCAGTATTAGAAAAACATTTAAAGCTGGGAAAGAATTTCTTCAGGAGATCGTCAATAAAAATTACCTTATGATCGTAGCCAGCTTGTTGAATTACTTCCGGTGCCATCCAAAACTATATAGAAATAATTTTAACCATAAATTGAGGTGTTAATCTAACGCGATTCCTTAATTCTTTGTCCGTTAAAAAAACTTACCGGAGTACCGACAAACGTCTTCCTTTTGCTTTTGTTAATGGATAATTGCGCCGCGACACCAAAATCAGCTTTTTATAAAGAAGAAAATAAGATTTGATAGAAATAAGATTTTTAGAACAAAATTTGGTACTTACCCAATTTAACATTTCCATCTTCCGACAATAATACATTCGCAGCTTTAGAGAATTTTAATTATTAATATGATGCATCTTTACTTCCAAAATCGTGCAATCTACTTTTAATGTAATACCTTTAATATCCCGATGAATCTTTCCCTCTCTATGCAAATATTCTAAGCCTTTCAAGAGTTCACGACAGACAATCGCAATTTGATGTTCATTATAAGGACCAGGTTTCAGCTGAAAACCAATAAATGACATTTCTTAGTTAACATTTTTAGTGTTATTCTAATCCGAGGAAAAAATTCATGGTTTGACTTAAATTACCAGATCTAAACACGATCCGCCTGCAAGATATTCCATAACTATATAAACGCATTATGAGGAAAGATAATTTAATACGTTGCCTCAATAATATCTTGAAACTAATTGTAATCATTATTACCAATCCATAATTTATACCCGGTGATAAATGAACCGTAATAACGTGTGATATAAGGAGAATCGCATTGCGATAACAATGCAATCTCTTGCTGAATCTCACTGATATCATCATCGGAATCTTCGAGATCAATTTGTTTTATCGCCACGATTTCTTTCGTGTCATTCTTAATGCTAAGATAAAGGCAAGTTCAGAACTATTAACTCTAAATGAAAAAAAAAAAAATGCCAATTAACCGAAAAAGCTTACGCCTTGTAAACCGTCCCAAATGAGCCAGTACCAAGTTTTTCGAGCAATGTGTATTCTCCTTGAGGGTCGGTTCTGGTCTTTTACAACAAGTAAAAGGTAAAATTATTGCTAATTCTAATCTAATTCTTTTATAATTATTTGAAAATAAAATTACCATTTTGAAAGCGGCCTACAGACCAGTTTATACTTGAGGTTTATTACGTGGTCGTCTTCAACAAAGAAAATAAAAAAATGAAGTATAGATTTCTAGAGAAGAGAGAGAGAGAAAGGAATAAAAACAGCAAAAAAAAGCGCCAAGCACAAACCCTAGAAAATAATTAAAAACTGCTCTTTATTTATGAACAAAGTTCAGGCAAGATTCTCGCGTGTCGTAATTATGTTTCTAAAAATGGACATATACTACATCATCATCGTTGCACTTATCAGGGGGTCTATTGGCAGTGCCACCAAGGGGAAGGGACACTATAGAAAGAAAATTATCTAGGAGATTTAGGAGCGAAGTGACACGGTTGAATGATAATTAAAAAAATCTCATTTGTTTTTAAGAAACTCAGTGATGAATATGTTTATTTGCATAACGATAATATTCTAGGATGATGTGTGAAAATCAAAATCAGATAACGTGCAAATAACGAAAGTTTTATTTTTGAAATGCTCCAGTAGAATTAAATAATAAATAAAATAGTGATAATAATAATAATGTTCTCACTGAAATCAAAATAGTCTAAAGAAAGGGGAAAATAAAAATACTAGTAATAATACTTTTTAAATTCGGAAGTCGGAAGCAATTTTGGTGATAGTTGAGGTAATAGTTAAGTAGTATTGATAGTTGGATGTAGTAGTTGTAGTTTTTTGATACCAATTATTAGTTTTTTAATCAAGATTAATAATTAATATATATATATAGAGATAATAAAATTTTTTTAAATGAGGTCGGCGACGTTCATTGGCATTTCGTCAATTTGTGTGTTGTAAAATTGTTCTGGAAATGAAATTCATTTATTATCAATTATCATGTGTTTGTGGTAAAGTAAAAAAACTCAAGAGACACGAAGAATATTATTTACCAATATCACGAAGCATGCGAACATCCTCACTGGTAACGAAGTTGATGGCAACACCCTTTCTTCCAAAGCGACCACCTCGACCAATTCGATGAATATAATTTTCACGGTTTGTTGGAAGATCATAATTAATAACCTAATCATTAATATTTGCGTGTTAAAAAAAGTCAAATCAATTCTTTTATATATATATCTCTCTCTCTTTCTAAACATATAAAATTTTCGATATCTTACCAAGGAAACTTGTTGTACGTCAATGCCGCGTGCTAAAAGATCAGTTGTGATCAATACTCGAGAAGATCCTGAACGGAATTCCTTCATAATAACGTCACGTTGAGATTGATCCATATCTCCGTGCATAGCCGAAACTGTGAATTCGCGAGCGTGCAATTTGTCTGTAAGCCAATCCACTTTTCTTCGTGTATTACAGAAAATGACAGCTTGTGTGATTGTAACCGTCTCGTACAAATCGCAAAGAGTATCTAATTTCCAATCTTCTTTTTCGACGGCAATATAGAATTGCTAGATTGTGATTAAATATTTTGGAATTATTATCATATATATAATAGAGAGAGAGAGAGAGAGAGAAAATTGTCATGAAATGATTTTGAAATTTACTTTAATGCCTTCCAACGTTAATTCGTCGCGTTTTACCAAAATTCTAACAGGATCACGCATAAATTTAGTTGTCACTTCCAATACATCGGCTGGCATCGTGGCGGACAACAGGACAACTTGAGTACTCGGAGGCAAGAGTTGGAAAACGTCGTAAATTTGTTCCTTGAAACCTCGAGAAAGCATTTCATCTGCCTCATCCAAGACAAACATTTTAATATGATCTGTTTTAAGTGCACGACGATTTATCATATCGTATACACGACCGGGCGTGCCGACGACTACGTGAGCACCGGCTTCGAGCCTCTTGATTCCGTCTCGAACATTAGTACCACCAATCGAGGCAAAACATTCAACGTTCATGAAATCACCCAACGCGATAACAACTTTTTGAATTTGTTGCGCCAATTCGCGAGTTGGTGCAAGAACAAGAGCTTGGCATTGATTGCTGGACATGTCAAGTTTCTGAAGGATTGAAATTGAAAACGTGGCCGTTTTTCCGGTTCCTGATTGGGCTTGAGCAATCACATCATGACCTTTAATAACGGGAAGTATAGCTCGTTGTTGGATGGCTGATGGTTTTTCAAAACTGTGTAATTTTATACGAGTGACATCAATCAGTCAATAATTCATTCTGATTACACTTAAACCGACAATAATTATGATATATACCCGTATGCATAAATACCACGAAGCAATTCAGGTTTCAGATTCATATTATCAAAGTTATCAACAACTTCTTCCCAGTTGGACTGCGTAGTAACATTTTGCGAAATGATTGGATTAATATTGATTAAAGGAAATTAATAAAACTATCATCCAACGATATCAAATATGAGCCTACCTCGATCTCCCCTTCTGGGACATCATTATAGTCCCCCTCTCTTTCTTCGGGCCTATTGTTTTAAAAAATCAAGTATGAGTTTGTCACGCGTTCAAGAAAAAAAGGATAATGAGAAATTCTTAAAATATAAGTCATTCTCTATTGAATCATATCAAATTTGCTCCTTTAAACTGAAAACATATTTGAATCATCACGAGACGAGTTTCGTATTACTTAGGCTTATAACATCAAAAAGGGTCGTCACATTAACAAAGCCTTACGAATTAACCATCGTAACGTGGGATAACTACTTTTGCACTATTTTATGGCTTGACTTGATCAAATTTGTCTTATATGCTTGGTAACTATACAGCTTTCACCGAAGATGGCTGAAAAACTTGGGTAGATTGAAACTAACACTTTATGAAGATGAAGCAACTTTAAAAAATTTCTCTAAGGATGATACTCACTTACTCATTTTCAAAAAAACACAATATTGGGAAAGTATAGATGTTATTTATGGGGAGACTTTTGAAAATTTTATTATTCTATTATGTGAAAAAGTTTTTTTCGTAGAGCCATTTAATGCACCCTTAAGGTGACCTTTTCGTCGGTCAGTGATTGGTCGTCATCAAATACTATGTAATAAACTCAGCCATCATCAACGAGATTCAAAGGGCTAACTTACCAAATACAAAAAAGACTATTAATAGTATATATATGTATATATATATACACTATACATATTATAATATTTTTCTTTTCTTGCAGAGTGAAATAAATTACCAAACTTCTAGATCCCTATTTATTATTATTACAATACACTTGGGTCTTTTTCTAAGGCCAACCGAGAATGTCTTAGCGTAAAAATATTTTGGTTTGTTGTCTTTCACGGCCCTAAACGTGTTTTTCTGGTCTTTAGTCTTTAGCGATAGATATTGCATACACATACCTCATACTCATAAATCCATTTTACAGTTTGTACAGTTTTTATTTCAAATCTATTTAATAATATCAACGACGAGACTTTTGCCTTATTATCTTGCTGTATAGTTTAGGGCCACTAGTCCGTTCTTTATATTTTCTTTGTTCTAATAACGCACATCACACCAATTATTAATATCACCTGATTCTTAACCTAAAAATTCAACAAAAAACGAGAATGTCAACCACCTTCTCTAAAACAATGGTAAGTCAAGCAACCGGGACTCTTTCTTCAAGGGAAAGAGGGGTGATATTCAAAGCCCTTCCGAGATTCATTATTAAAATCTATCCCTCTCTATTAATAGCCATCTCTTGTAAAGCCCATTCCCGAAACATCTTCCCATAAGAGTCGCGTTACCATTATGGATCCAGAAGAATCGGTTGTAAGCAACCCAGTTCAATCTGTTGAAACGAAAAAGATTGTCTTGCTCAAACGGCCTTCTTCAAATAATACCAATGGCATACATACCACTAATCTAAATACTACTAATAATAGTGGGGAGTCTAAGCAGTCATCTCCGATGAACAATAACAATGGTAATATTAATAGTAACAACAATAATGTATCACCAGTCCCCAGTCGATCAGAAACTTATTCGCCAACCTCGAATGGTGAATCGCCTACTGAAGAAGGCGTTGATATGGGAGAAATTGATGCGGCTACTGGCCTCGATAGTTTTTTACTGACCGCGCTTAAAAATCCGAAAGATAGATTGTTCTTATTAAAATTGGATCAGGACATGGTGCGTTTCATAGAAGACAAAAGGTACCACTCATTCTTTTTCTTTTTTTTCAATACACGTGTAGAGGAAGTGATAACAAAGAAATCTATGAGCTAACGATATCTCTTTTGTATCATCTTCAAAGTCTTTTACGATTTGAATTTCCACCGATGAATTCTTATCAAAGGCTTATTGTCCATCGAGTAGCTCAATATTTTAAATTGTCACACGTGGTGGACAGTAGTGGAAAAGCTGTGGTTCTCTACAAATCAGCGGAAACAGCAATGTAGGTTTCGTTCTATACCATTTCCTCCATGAACCTTTAGAAATTCTATCAAATTTTTTTATCGTATTTCTTGTTTTAGCCCCACACTTCGTTTTTCTGATCTTGAACAAGAAGAGGAAAAACCTCCTGAGAAATCGGTAAAGATTATGAGAAGACAATCGAATCATCCATCTATTCGATCAGTTGGTGACAATTCTGATAGTAATTCGGAAAGTGAACGTCGAACACATCTAACAATCGAGGAACGTGAAGCGGCCTATCTGAAAGCTCGTGCTAGAATTTTTCGAGATAAAGAAAATGAGGATTCTGAACAAGAAGAGACGGAAGGGTCAAGGTCTTCAAGCCCTGGCGAAACCACCATCATCATCACCAACAACAACAACAACAACAACACCGCCACCACCAACAATATCAACACCACCACCAACACCATCAACATCAACACCAGCAATGATAATAACAACAACAACAATGTTAACAGCAACAACAACAACAACAGCATTAACAACAACAATCATCTTAACAGCAGCAATAGTAACAATAGCAACAATAATAATAGTAATAAAAACAATAATAATAATAATAATAATAATAATAATAACGATAACGGTAACAATAACGGTAACAATAATAGTAGTAGTAGTAGCACTAACAATAACATTAATAACCATATTAGCAATAACAATATTCACAATAACAATATTCAATTGCAGAAAAATGATTCGTCACCTAAATCTAAAGTGAATAATCAGCAAAACAAAGGTTCTAATAATAATTCAAATAGCAATAAAAATAGTAAACAGGGTCAACAACATAACAAAGGTTCCAACACAAATAATAAAAATTCCAATAACAAAAACAACAACAACAACAGTAACGGCAACGGCAACAATAATAATAACAATAATAATAGTAATAATAATAATAATAATAATAATAACAATAATAATAACAACAACAACAATAATAACAATAACACAAAAAACCGGTCTCAACCAACAGCAAGGCCACAGACGATCAATTACAACCTCAATCCTTCAAACGATAGATCTTCAACATATACACCAAAACAAAATCGCATGATTAATGCTTTACCTGGAGGTCCAGGTACAGTAATACGACCAATGTTACACCCGGGTACTTTTGGCGCGCCTCCATATTTTGGTCCGCCAACATATGACATGAATATGGTTGGCTTACCACAACCAACGATGATTTCGCCTGACATGCCAATGGGTCCTCCAATGGCAAATCTTTATATGAATATTCCCCCACCTGAATGGGGAGGACCTGCAATAGGCGGACATTTTATTCGTCCAGGGGCAAGAAATCCATGGGGCACCGAAGTCTTTAACAATTCAACAGATCCTACAAATAACGCTTCCAATTTCAATCATACTTCACAAAATAACAATGGTGGATTCATGCATGCCCGTTCTGCGGTGCAAGATGAAAAGAATTTTTCGCATTCAGCAGCAGCACAGAATTCGATGAAAAATTTCAATCAATTTGCATCGACAAATTACCCACCACCGCCTTCTACAGCTGGTCCTCCTTTTAATGAGAAAAATCAATTCGGGAATTCATCGAAGGAAGTAAATTCAAACAAGTCGGTACAAACAATAGATTCCAGGAATCCGTCCACAGCACCTCCGCCTCAACATTCATTCGAAAAAGGCCCTCAATCTAATCCAGCCTGGATGCATAAAAATGGTCAATGGGGTCAAGCTAATGGTAATGGCACCGATTGCTTCAACGAAAATAAATCAAATGACCTACAGCAAAATCATAAAAGGGTAAACAACAGAAATCCAACATTTTTGCCGCAATCACAGCATGAAAATCCGGTATACGACATGAAATATCTTTTTCGTAAAAATATTTGATTATATAGTGTTATTAATCTTCACTTTCACTTTTCTAGTTCCCATTTAATTCAGTATGGAATAATAATTCTGATACGCCTGGAATGGGAATTTTCAATCCACAACAAACAGCAACAGATTATCCACTAAAAAACAGACCAATACCTCAAATGCCTTCTCATGTTTTCCCCGGGATGATGCCACCCCCAATGCCTTCTATGGGCGCACGACGCACAAATTCTGGTCAAGTTTATTCTGGGCCCATGCCTCCAGAGTACCTTAATATACCACGCATGCCTATAATGCATCCTCAAATGATGGGATTCCCCTCACAAGTTCCAAATCCTAATATAATTTACGACGTGGAGAAAAGACCGCCCAAATCATCTGAATTATTTGATCCAAATAATCCTTCAAATACTTCTGCACCTCAAAAATATCGGCTACGGCAATAAAAGTTGTATTATTAATATTTGTTACATTCTATTTAGAATTATTTTTTTCTGATTTAAATAGTTACAATTTTTTCCAATTTCAGAAAATGTAAAATAATATTTGAAACATACGTTTTAATCAACACGAAAAAGTACAATATGAAACTCTAAATAGCAATCTTATATTGTAGTATTCGATCGCTAGTAAGTACATTTAGATGATATGGACAATGACAATATTGAAATTAAGCAACGTGATTCTGTTTTTATTCTGTAATCTGATTTATAGTTATACCCTTATATTATATTCAATGAAAATTCGGTTACTAATAACTGATAGATGCGATAAAAATCAAATTTGTCAATTATAATAAAGAAATAGATAGATTTCTTTTAATAATATCATGCTAATACAGTCAATTTCTAGAGATTAGTGAAATAATTCGATCTCCTAAAATTTAATTAAAATATATTATAAATAAAAAAAAATTGTACATAGGAAACAAAGCACAGGAAGTTTGTCTGATCGGTTAATTTGTAAATCAACATGTGCTAAAATTTTTTTATTCACGTGTAATAATTGACCAATTAAATTTAGGCATCAAGCCACATAAGGATTCACAAATTGCAACAATAACTTATAAAAAATTCAAATTGATAAAGCATTAATTTTGTGAATTACACAAGCTATTATAGCTAAAACTATGTAAAATTTAATTTTTAAATTATGTTCTCAGATAAACATAAATTATATTTATATTATTTTTAAAAAATCAAAAATATTCTTGAAAACTTTTTTTATAATTATATTTTTCATTATTTAAAATTTTTATAATCCAATTTACATTATTCTTAATAAGCTAAATTAAAATTAAACTCATTTAAATCTGATCTATTAAAAGAAATAAGTAAAATATAATTAAGAATTAAAATTTATTAAGAAAAAATATATTCTACAAACTTTTAAGCATTAAGAATTATATTAAATTTTTTATTCAAAAAACTCTTTCTTTATTATAAAAATAATTCAAAATATTAATTTGATTTTTTTTATATATAACTTTTAAGAAAAAGATATTTTGAATTAAAAATATAAAAAATATCTACTTGTTTATAGTTTAAAAATATTCTTTTAAAAAATTTGATTAAATATAATATTATTTTTATTATTTTTTAACAAAAGTTTATATATTACATTGGCTCAAAAAAATTCTTTGGAGCCATTACTTTGTGTATATAAATATAATATTAATTACTTATATTATAATATTTAATTAAGTTTATACTTTATAAATTATAATATTATTTTTTTAAATTAACAAATTTATTTAATACAATACTATAATAAAATTATTATAATTATAATTAATAAATAATATAATAATAATATAATTAAGTATTTAATATAAGTTATTAATTATAAAGAAAGCTAATATATATTAATTATATTAAAAATATTAAGTTATATGAATCTTTAATTTTTTTTTATTATTTTTAATTATAATATTTATTCAAAACTTTAGAAAATTATTTATATATATTATATATTAAAATTAGATAATATAAAATATAATAATATTATAGAATAAAATAATTTTAATTTATTAATTTTAATTAAATATATATTATGAATATATTATAAATAATTAAATTTATTAATCAATATAAATATAATATAAATTATTATATAATATATTTTTTACTTAAATAAAATAATTAAAATTAGTTATTATTAAATTAAATATTTATTTAGTAAAAAATATTATTTTAAAAATTAATAAATTAGTTTTCTAAAATTAAATAAATATTTAAAAATTATTATTAATATTTTTTTAAAAATATAATATTACTTTAATTTAATATAATTTTTTAATTATTAAATATATATATATATATAATTTATTAAATATTAATTTTTTTTATCAAATATTTAATTATCTTAATAAATTTATAAGTTATTATATAATTAATATAGTTAATATAATTAATATATAATATATATAAATTTTTATTACTTAATAATTAATAATTAATAAAATTTAATATATTAAATCTAATATTAAACTTATTTTAATTATTATATTAAATATTAATAATTTTACTTAAATTTTTATATATATTTATAATTAAATTATATTTGATTAAAAAATATATATTTTATAAATTTTATATAATTTATTATTAATTTATTTTAACTTAAATTATAAAAAAACTTAAATATCTATTTGAGTTTTTAATAGTAAAATCATATAATAAATTAATAATTTTTATAATTAATATATTAAGTTAAGAATTATAATAAAATATATATAATTAATAATAAAAGTTTATTTATTTATTTTTTAATAATAATAATAAAATATATTTTTTTTAAAAATTTTTTATAATATTTTTCTATAATTATATTTTTTTATAATTATATTTTTTATGATTATTTTTTTTGAGTTTTTTAATTATTAATTAATTATAATTAAAAATTTTTCTATAATTATATCACTCTTTAGTTATTTAATTTTGTTTTTTTTTAAGTATAATAACTATAAAAGATCTATTTATATTTATAAAAATCTTTTTAGTTAACTTAAATTTTATCTTAAAAATTTTTAATTAAATATAATATTTTAAACTTATAAAAATTATTAATATTACTTATATAATTTAGAAATTTTTTTTTAAAATTTGAAAAATTTTCTTAAAAAATATTTTTTTTCTTGATTTTTTCTTTTTTCTAATATATTATATATAAAATAAAACTTTTTATTAAAGATTTTAAATAATATTTAAGAAATTTAATTTAAATATATTTAATTAAATTCTCAAAAATTAACTTATTAATTATAATTAATAAATTTAAAAATATTAAAACTTTATAAATTATTTTTTATATTTTAAAATTAGTTATAAAAAATAAAAAATTAATATTTTAATATTTTTAATTAATAATTAAAAATTAATTATAAATAATTATAATATATTTTTTTAAAAAAAATTTAATATTATTTAATGTATCTTTTAATTTAAAATAATATATTATTATTTATTTTGAAAAAATAAAAATAAAAATTATAGTTTATTATTATGAAATAATTTAAATAAATATTCTATTTCAAAAACTATCTTAAAAATTTATGTAATTATTATTAATAATATATTTTTATTTAAAAATATTAGAGTTTAATATTTCTAATATTATAATATATAAATTAAATAAAATCATAAGTTTTTATATTTAAAAATATTTTAATAAGTAATTTTTTAAATAATTATAATTTTTTAAATAAGTTTACTAATAAATTAAATAAAAAAATAATCTTTATAATATTATATAAAAAATTAATTAATTTTGAAAGAACTTTTAAAAATATATAAAAATATATAATTTTTAAATATAATAAATAATAAATTATTTATAAGTATTTATATAATTAGTTAATAATTATAATAAAATATAAATAAGTAAGAAAGTTATAAAAATAATTTATATTTTATTGAAATTATATATAATCAGATTTTTTTATAATTATATCTTAATATAATTATCTTTTTTTATAGTTATTATTTTAAGTTTTTTAATTACTAATTAATAATAATTAAAAAAATTTCTTTATAATTATATCTTTTTATAATTATTTAATTTATTTTTTCAAGTATAATAATTATAGAGAAGTTTAATATAATTAAATAAATATATATTTTAATTTACTCTTATTTATATAATAAATTATTTTTATTTATATAATATAATTAATATTAAAAATATATTAATAATAAAGATATTATATTATAATATAAAATAAAATAAATAAAATAAGTATTTCTTAATTTTAATAATATATTAAAAATATTATTTTTTCTAAATTTATTAAAATAAACAAATAAGCAGTTTATAAATAATATAAAATTAATTAAATATATAAAAATATTAATTTAAGAAATATTAATAAAAAATATATTTTAATAATAATATTTTAAAAATAATTTAAGCTTGAATTTAAACTCAAATTTATATTTTAAATTTAAAATTTGAATCAAATTTGAATTTAAATTCAAAAAAAAAACTTAAAAATTTTTGAATTTGAATTTAAATCAGACTAAACTCAAAATTTAATTCTGATTCAATATTTTTTTAAATTTAAATAATTATATTTATACTAATTTTACAAAATTATATTAATAATAATATTAATCATATTATAATATCATAATTTATCTTATTATTTTTTATTTTTAATTAATTTTAATAATTTATTTAAGCAATTAAACTTGAAAATATTTTTATTATTAAAAATTTAATCTTTATAAACTCTTTTATTTTATATTAATATCTCAATATTATAAAAATTAAATAATTTCAAATTTTAATAAAGTTATAATAATAGAATTATTATAGAAATCTTTTAATTATTTATTAAATTCTCTTTAATCTTATTTTATTCATTTGCTAATATTATTTTTTTTATAATTTTTTTTATTTTATTTATTTTTAGTAATAATTATTATGAAATTTGAAATAATTAAATAAAATTCAATTATATTATAATTTATCTATACACATTTAAAAATACTATTACTTATATAATTATTATTATCACAATATTCTCAATTCTTGAAAATTATGAATTTGAAATAAGTCATATTATATTTCTATCAAGTAATAATAATATTCTAATCAGAATATAAACTTGTAAAAGCTAATCTAGAGGATTTTGGTATATTCTTGTGTGAAACATCTCTTCTAGAAGTCTTGCAGCTTTTAATATGTACAAGTATGTTATTTGAGCTATTGGATCTTTTTCACTATCACTAATACCTGGATATTATACATAGATGTAATATATTCCGAGTATATGCAACATACACGGAAATGTATCCACTAAAAATGATACACAGAATTTTTTGCAATCTGGATAAATTTCTTTTGCTATCCAACCTTTTAATCTGGTTTGCAATTCGTTTATTTTCTTATAACTAATCCTAATTGCAACTTACTATTTTGTCTTTAGGATTTCGAAATTGCTTGTTATGTACAACATCCAGTCAACTTGATGATCTAGGTGACGGATGCATTTCTATAGACAATTGCCTATTGAATAAATCATGTATTTAAGAATTGTCTAAGGATGGGTTGAATGAATTAATAATATAAACCAATTGATGATATTTTACTACTTTTGAGTTTGTTCTGTTCCGGCATAATGTAAAATCAGTTCGTAACAAAAAAACATTATCGCAGTATTAGGAACAACACGCATCAAATGTGCCGTCAAGCCGCCATACATCGCTGTTAAACCTTCATTCCGAATAATAGTTTTTGCACAGTGAATTAATCCGGTGTATTTTACTCTTTCGTTTGGTAGTTGTCGCAGACGCGTTCTTAATACCTTTTTAATAAAAGAGTATATAATTTAAACATAGTTCAATGATAGGAAAATACTAGAATGTAAATTAATAAAAATATTAACATACCTCATGAGGGTATGTTAATCCTGCTGCGAAAAGCTTGGATGATCCGGCAGCTAAAAAATAATCCAATAGATGCCAATAATCTTTACTTCGTACAAGAGTTTCAACATCATCCGGTTCCATTTTGTGTTGACCTTGCCGTCTTTTTGACAGAGTCGCTTTCAAATATTCGTAAGTGACCCATTGTGTTGTAGTTTCAGCCACCCCTAATCAAATAACATTTAATTAACTATTAGCTTTAATACAATTATAAGCATAATAAATAATATTGCTATTACCTAAATACGATGCACTAAGCCCTCTATAAAGTCCCTTTATTCCTTCTTCTTTCACCACCGTTATTACACAGTCAACGGAATTCCTATATTTTTTAATCGGGAATAATAATTTCCCGGTTGATGATTGTAGTTGCATTCGTGTTTTAACTAGCCATATAGGATTGGTTGCAGTTGACGTGGCTAATCCTGTATAGGTATATTTATTTTCTTGTCATTAATCGCCGTACAAGAAATCATTAACCATTAATAGTAAGTAATATACCCGCTAGTATGGCTGCTATGCCGTGTACCATTGCCGTTTCTTGCCCACCATTAAGATCTGTTAGAATTCGCTTTCCATTGCCATACGCAAAAAAATTAATTGCTCTATTATTGTTAATATTGTCATTATTGTGGTGTTATACAATAAAAAAAAAACTTATTTAATAGGATGATAATTATCAAGAAATATGACAAATGCACGTAGGAATGAAGCGTGCGTGTGACATGCCTTGAGGATTCCTATACCTTGCTGGAACAACTCCCACCAGATTCGGTCCAAGACCTTTGAATAATGCCCGCCAACCCTCATCTCGATAAATTACTCTATTTTATTACCATCGTCACCAAAATAGTCTAAAATGAGAATAACATATTCTGCATATGATCTCATCATCAAAAATCAAAAAAAAAATACCCTAATATTTTTCCTGTGTCTATAAATTTTCCCAGCATTGGAATTGTTGATGGGCGTGTTGTTACTTTATTGGGACCGATCTTCGAATAATAAGATGACTGTTATAATAAAATAGAATCGTAAAAGTCATGATTAGATTTTTATAGTAACAAAATTTGATACATATTATAACTTGCCTGAAGTCGCGTTCTTACAACATCTAATGGGCAAGTGACTAAGGCACCAGCCATGCCGCCGACACTAAATAAAAAACGCGTAAGGTAGATATCCGTTATTTCGTGTCCGAGTAAAACAAAAAATTTTGGCATTAATCCAAAAGTCTACTGAAAAAAATTAGGTTAAATATAATAATAAAAAAAGCAGATAATAAAAAGGCTACAAACCCTCCTGCGACCAGGTGTAGCCATGCTTTCGAGTGAACAGTTCTGTTAGTAATAATATTAGTTGTTGTTTCTGTGATCGCTGTACTGGTAGTAATCTTATCTTTTTTAGTGTTAGTTTGTGAAATGGTTGTCGTGGCTGTTTGTTGCTGCGGAATATTATTTTGCCCTGGAAAGTTCAAATGGTTATGTGAAATTGGAGAGCTTGTAGTAGCCATTATAGGCATTATAAGAGTTATGTTAAGATAAATTTCTCTGTGAATGCTTGAGATCGATATATTTAGTTCAAATATTTTTCTACGGTTATTTCGCGTTCTATTGTGATAGAATCGCCAAAAAAATTTTTTTACATAATTTGATCCAGTGACTTTACATGTTACTAAATTTAGTCCAGAACGAAAGATATTCTTAATTTCCTTTTATATTTAACAAATGATATTTTTATTTAAAGTAGATCCAACACATCCCATCTGTCGCGATTTTACTATATTAGGAATACATTCTCATTGGCCAGTACGATTCTAACAAAGAAATAAACATAAGTGAGAATAAGATTAAATAAAAAATGAAGCTTTAACAAAGAAATTAATACCGGGATCAGGTCTATCAGCATCCTTCGAATATTCCCATTGATGAGAACCTTTATTAGGTACTGGAGGCAATTTATCCTTGGAATATAATGGTTTTGGCAAAGCTGCGATAATATCGGTCAATGACATATTTTCAGCAATTTTTGATATATCTGTTGTTGTATCGGTTGTTGCTGTGACGTCTGTTCCTTTTTCAGCACCATTACCACCAGCCGTAATACTTGCGGGAATAGATTTAAATAATTTCATAGAACGAAATATCAGCAAAAGAAAAAATACCAATCGATTCTATATAAGCACCTTTTCATATTGCTCGCCGCGAATAATAAAGCCACATCTTTTTGCGTAAATACACTCAATCTGGGATAATCTCGACGTGCGTCTCGTTGAAAATAGTAATTCTCAGCGAGATCGGAATGTTTTGTTGTTGGCCGAACATATTTAGACTGTGAACTTTTTTATTTGTATTCATTTGTCGTTATTAGCGAGATAATTCATCAATTAAAAAAAGAAAAGTCTTGATTTTCATTATGTACCCTGGAGCTGGCGTACGATAGGTTCCTGTTATCGGGACGCCTGTATTTGTTGAAGGATTCTATTATTTTTTTTTGATAGTTGTTTTTGACTGTAGGTGAGTAAGAGACGAATACATTCATATGTAATAGTTAAATATTTTTATCTGGTTTTGGATTTAATTTGGATTCTGTTCGTTAAGGAATTTTTGATCTGAAATTCTCAAAACGTGAGACGTTTCTTTCATGTATTAAGCGTTAGAATAAAACAGATTTTTACTCACAACGGTCAAAAGTTTACGAATTAAATCAAAAAACTTGTTCTTCGAACCAAGTGTGTATGACATTTTGCGTGGGTTTCAACATAATTTCTGTCAGAAATTATAGTGTAGGTCACGTGCGCTTCCTGCAAATAATTTTTTGACATGTCGATCCCAAATAATAATCGTTTTTTTTTATGCGCAGAATTTTCTTTATTGTATTGTGCTATTAACAATAATTTAAAGGCCAAAATTGACTAAAATAAGAGAAAGAGAATTACGTATACAGGTATTAGGAAAATTGTTTTGCCAAAATAAACCATCATTGAATCATAAACACTTGATCTACATCTTCATCAGCCTCAGCACGAGATTTCTCCAACAAACCCGCCACCGCCAAACTACTACCACTACCACTTCTCGTTAGAGTATTTAGAGTATTTATCATTTTAACGGCATCTACGGCCTTTCTAAAAGTACGACGTGCATTGAAATTCTGACGAACGTTTGTCAATAAATCACGAGGAATGTTTACTGAACTCAAGGACGAGAGCCATTGATGGTGAAGTGCATCCACGGCTGTTAACCGTTTTCGTGGATCGCGGGTTAAAAGCTTCTTTATGAAATCTATTGCTATTATTTAATTTTTAATGAAAAAAAGTGAATAAAGATTTAAATGTAATAAATCATGTTTCGAATTTCTTATTTAAGTACCGATATCGGAAACCCCTTCCCAATATTCCACGGGTTCAAACTTATAATCAGCTTCTAAAATCGCTTTAGTTTCCGCAAGGCTATCGTCACGCTCGAATGGTGTATATCCACATAATAGGAAGTAAGTAATCACTCCAATTGACCATAAGTCCACCGGTTTTCCGTGTCCTTCTTTGGCGAGAATTTCAGGGGCCTAAATTAGAAAAATTAGTAAAGTATTGGTGATCATATACTAAAAAATGCCCTCGCATATATGTACCATATAACCGGGTGTACCGCAAGTAGTAGTAAGCACGTGAAACGTTTCCGAATCGATGATCTTAGAGAGACCAAAATCGGCAACAAGAAGATCAGAGTCATCGGCACGCGTACGGAAAAGAAGGTTCTCGGGCTAAAAGTGACCAAAAATTATAATCAATCAATTAGAGACATTATTACTTATGTTCAATAGAAAAAGAAAGCTTTCTTACCTTTAAGTCTTTATCATGAATATGAACAGATTTCCAAAAAAAAATTACATAAAGAAACAAGATTATAATCAAAAATTTAATCCAATGATCGAGGCAAATTTTAGTATATTTTTTTAAATAATCACTCACCTCTATGGACTATTCCATTTTCATGGAGATAAGCTACTGCTTCTGTTATACTACGTACAATATTCGCAGCATCGCGTTCATAAAATTGGCCTTTTTCGCAAATACGATCAAATAGTTCACCACCTTCAGCAAGTTCCGTGACCAGATAAACTGTACAGATACGTTAAATTAAAATACTTAATAGTTATGCAAAGATTACAAATATCCCACAAAAACTCACGATTATTCATAGTCTCAAAATAATCAACCAATGTCAAAATATTTTTATTTCCTTGCGATACTCGTTTCAGCACTGCAATTTCATTTCTAACCATGTGTTCCCTGCCTTCCATTAATTTTTTATTAATAACCTTAACTGCAAACATTTGACCTGTTTTAATCTTTGAGAGAGGAGATGAGAATAATTAATGATCATCGAACTAATGTGTCGAACACAAAGACAAATAAAAACTTCACGAGGATAATGTTTTGAATCATCGATTATAGAAACTGATGTTTATAATTATTAAAGAAACTTACATGCTGTGCCTCTGAAATGGTCATATAATAAAACAATGAAAAATGATCAGTCATATTAATAATTCAATTCAATATCAAAGAAGTGTGCATCGATGGGTTTTAGCTAACCTTTTACAACGGCGTAAGTTCCTTGTCCAAGAATTTTCCCCGTCTTGTACTAATTTAAAATGTACGCATATAAAGATAGACAATATATCAAACAGCCAAATAGACGGATTGATTTTTGTACAATTAATGTAGTTGTTGAAACTTTATTTTTTAGCCATTTGTAAGACTTGATAGACATCAACAAGTCATAATTCAATAGCAATTCAATATCCTAATTAATACCTGACAAGGCACAGTTGAAACAGTAGCCATTTTTTTTTAGTTTTATGAAAAATAAATATATAAAGAAAATATAAAAGTATAAAGAATTCGACTTGTTCTTTTGAATTAATTCTCGAGATATATACCCAAAGATTCTTCTCTAATTGTACAACCACCCGCGCCACCCACCTCTTTATATTAGCCTGTTTTATTCATAATTAAAAATAGCAAAACTATAATCACATGGAATCTTTATTGTGTAAGTGGCTAGAACCAATATTTGTTCTAATAGATTTTTTATTATGAATTAAAAGTGGATAAATATTTGCAATCATTTAATTAACTAAATAAGTAAAATAATGTGATTTGATTAAATTATCGTTATATTTATTCCTTAACCTCCAAATCCTGCGCCAATGCATCAACCTTTGAAAATTGCCACGACCACGCAGAATTATACAGGAATGGCCGTAAATCGAATCGATTGTCGTCGGGACTATACGATTCTGCATGATACGATGGCGTGAGCGTAGTCATTTTGTGACGGTTGACGGCGTAATAATAGAAAAATCGTTTTACTTTGGCTGCTATCTGATTAATGTGATTTTTTGGAGATTTAGAAGTCAACATAAAATTTTCTATGAAAACAATGATTGCCAAAACCGGAAACAATATTTACTTGAGTAGGACTTAATTCGTTACCCCACTCATGAACCAACTTGGTAAACATTGAGAAGGGACCGCATTTTTGGATTTTTCGTAGTCGTCCGAAAATCGAGAGCTCTTCATACGTCATTCCCATATCAAGCTTTTTATTAAACAATTCAATGAAAATAAATAACTAATTTTATCTTGGTTTGGAAAGGAATAAAGCAAAGAAATACCTCATCCCTTTGCACATATTCATTAGTCATAGGTTCAAGTTCTGCTGTTGGCTGTGCATCGAGAAATCTAATACCAAGGGAAGAGAGTATAAATGTATATCCCCCATTGTCATATTTAAATATTATTGAACAATTAAAAATTAATATAAATACTCTTGTAATATAGGCAAGTCGAAACAATCCTTCGCGTAACCAATAAACCGACGTAAATCTTTTTTACTAATACTCCCAATAGGACAAATGTCAGCGCTGGAGCAATCGTATTTAGTAAAGTATCCTCGTAGACTATAAATAAAGACAAATTTAATAACATATAATAATGATTAATAGGCTAAGCTCAAAAATATTTTTATACAAACCATTCGTCTACGTTCGCGCTTCCCAATACAAGCAATGATCCATTTCGATTTCGTACCCATGGTAACAGCTGTGCAAAAAGATATGATAGTAACATTCGAAGCCTAGCCTGATGGGAAAAGCAAATATAATGTCTTAAATTTAATGAATTACAAATTCACTTTTAGATTTTCTCTATGAAACAGACAAACACAAACAAATACCTGTATATTCTGTAATGCCAAATTCTCCGTATTAGATCCACCATGTATGCGATATCTTGGTGTCTTATTGGTGACAAACGTGAACAGGGTATGCACTGCTCTCACTAAATCGTCCATGTTTAGGTCTATGTGATAACTTACCAAAAAAAAAAATGCAATTAATTTGGATGAAAAGAAATTAAACCATTTGATTTTTAGATCTATAAACAAATACCTCCCAATAGAATCCGCTAACTTTTTCGCACGTTGACGCGTCTCTTTGCTTGAATTTTCGGTACCCATATAACATGTATGAAAAATCCGACTAAAAACGATTTAATCCATAACTAAATTTTCTAAATTCAATCAAAAATAATATTAAAAATAAATTTACGCTGTTAGCTCTTTAGGATCTCTTGGAATGTATATCGAGTCTTCAGATTCCCCCACTATTCTTCTTACGTCTTTAATAACGTTTTCATCTATTCAAATAAAAAAATGATATAATCAAATCAAAAATAATCGAAAACAAATATAAATAAATTTACGAAGAACTTAATTACCTCCTTTCTCAGCTGCGTCAACTATCAGACTACACATGGAATAAACAATAACTGCTGTAGAGCAACTATCGATGCCTCCACTAAGCGGTAAGAAATATCCGCTCATATTTGATCGACGAAGATAGTCCCAGAGCCAACAAGCAGGACCCAATCTTTTTAAAAAGGGATATATACAAAACTAATTAAACATCTAATTTAATATCTAATATATAAAGTTCCATAATTTTCATTTACGTAATCTCTTGTTCTGGTGTATGATAAAACTCTTCCATCGGTTTAGTTGGTGGCGTCATAAATTTAAGCCTCGAATTTTTCCCAGAATCAGATAAAGCAAAATCCGCTTCGATTCTTGGATATGAAGACGGTGTCGATAACATATTATGAGTGGCGGTAATATTTGTCGCTTGCATACCACGACTGCTGATAGCTCGATGTGATCGTACATCCTCGATATCAATGGTTGCAATTAAAACTTCCTTAAAGAACATTAGAAGCCATTTCAATTTTTTTTTGCTTGTTATATATATTGTTTTATTACATCATTTACTTACAACATCCTTTAACGAAAATTGAGATCCCTGCGCTACAATTTGCCCATTCATCGCAATCAAAGAACATCCATCATAGTATAGTCGATCACCGTCGCATCCTTGCTGATTCGAATAAAGATATATTCCACCGTTCTTGATTCAGAAAATTCAAAACGATATAACAAATAAATTTGATTTAATCTTTGAGTTATTAAGGTTAAATAAAATGAGCAATAAATAAATAAAACACCTTGAGTGTCGCCTCCTTGATCAATTCTATTCTTCTATACAATTTTCTTAATTCATGATGGCTTCCACTGCTATTTGTAAAAATTTCTACGCCATCTAATCCCAGATTAATATGAGGGCTATAAAAAATATCAAAATGATCAATATATAATTGATAATATTTTAATGTGTTCATTAGAAGAAAGATTATAATTACCTATTAGGAGTAAACAATTCTTCGCACAATTCAATGCCGACACAGGTATCAATAGTGGAAATCACAGCATCGCCAATCGGAACTTTGGACTATACAAGATTTTAAAATAAATAACCAAAAAATTAAAATTATTTTTCAATACATTACCTGACCAGTTATATTCCTAATCATCCTCGGCAAATAATATTCTTCAACATGTCGCGCCGCAGACCAAGGCACAAAATATCGGAGCTCACGATAATTACCATCATTAGCTAGATACATCTTTGGACGGATTAATAGAATTTTCCCATTGAGAATGATCACTCGACAATTGTATTTTACGTTTTTGTGAGCGACTGGCCTGAATTTTTATTTGCATAATTTTTTACGTTAACAAATTTTTAATTTTTTTATTATTATAATACTGGATAGATTACAACAACATACATGCCAATGTCAAGCAAAATATCTTTGGTATCATCAGATTCCAGAATTTTACCCAAAACCTCCCAAGAATGTAAATAAGTATCTCCTAGAGTAAAACAATTACATAATATCTTGTCACATCATTTTCAAAAGAAAAGCTTTACCATAGTTATAAATATTTAAACCCGATTTTTACCTTCAAGAAAATGGTCAAAACATCCATAACCACTTAAAAACAATTATAATCAATTTATCCCGAAAACAATTTAGGAAAATGACAAATAAAACGCGAAAATCAAATAAATACGTTATCTCAAGTTCCGGGCCCACACGTAACTTTGCTCCTCTCTCTTTAGCAATTTTAATACTTTCAAGTATTCTTTTCAAATTCCCTTCGAAATCTAAAGCCCACTGGTTGAGCGAACATGTTGCAACGGTTGCATAATGTCCCATCTTTCAAACTTCAATTGTATTGAAGCAAATTTCGTTGAATAACGTCATATAATTTTATTTGTAATAGTCATCATTTTTCAAATAATACAATTTGACATTTGGATTTTTTCTTACTGATAAATAGCAGATGATACATAAACTAACACATTACAATTATTCTTTCTCTATTATTAACACACTATTCTCTTAGTAGCTTGGATATCAAGAATCTGTCAAAGGACACAAACACATGGTAGAAAAATTTTCAAAAGGCAATTAATTGTTCGATCAATCGATCGTTCACTCGTTTACTTTGGCATTTCGACGAATCCTGGAAAGCATTGGTCCAAAGTCTTACTGTGTTTATTTTCCGCGTGTTCATTTAACCTAATGATGTGATGTATGAATTTAAGTAAATATTCAAATTCAAATTTACAAAAAAAAATTCAATCAAAAGAAAACATACGCTTTTGCCCTCACGGTACATAAAAAGGTATTGCGACATACACTACAAATTACAGTTTTTGCCGCTTCATTCTGTATAATAAAATGTATGAGTAAAAAAAATCATTGTTTCGGCACATTAGTTATGCACTTATTTTCCGAGAACAAACTAATAGCGTACCGCTTTTTTTTGACTTGTAGGTCCAGCTTTGGCCCCATTTTTAGCAGCTCGTTCTCGTTTATGTTGTGCTTTTTGTCCCTGTTTTTTTATATTTATTATTTTAATGAGATTAAAGTTCACGTTAGCGTTCGAATTCTCAAAAATGCCTATATTTTGGAAGTAAAGACATATATTCCCAATACGACTCACATACGTTGCCCATATCTACTACTGATTAAACCCTCAAACACAGAAATTTACACAAACGAAAAAACTGGAAATTTTACTATCAACGTTAAAGACGAAGATGACTGCCAGTCAGGTTATCTTCCACACAGTATCAAATATCCTAAATTTAGAATTTGATACATGCATTTCCCATCACGTTATAAATAAATAACCCACACATCAAGAAGAAAACTTCGCTGATTTATTTGACACTCGAACATATTTTATTTAAACATGAATCTCATATCCACGAATAACCGCTGTCCAATTAACCCAAATATATAGTATAGCGGGATGCATAATAGAGTTTGAAGACTTCGTGCTAGTTTTTGCTGTTGCATGTAGATATAAATAGATCCGAATATTTGTGAAAGCATGTGACCAAGAATTATGTCGTATAAACGAAAATCTGTTTATTAATTTTGATGAGATATTTGGTAACATAAAAAATATTAAACCTTATTGAAATATTAATCTTTTTTTTTCATTTTCTCGACCTTGTTTTTTACCTTAAGCATGAATCTTTATTCTCGTATGATAAAATCTCAAAAATTTACCGATTATAATCTTTTGATGATTTGTAATTATACTGCTAAAAAATCACTTCACCAACAATGTTCCAATGCTATTATTATGATATTATAATGTTTGTACAAAGAATTTGTGTAGATTGTTCGTTTTCATAAGAAATCTAATATTCCCAACTCACGTTACAAACGGATTCTCTGTTTTTGCTTGAAATATCGCAAATGTGCTAGGCAGGAGAGGTGGATGACGATGCGGCTTTGGAGTTCTCGTAATTTATTTTTTCAGGGTTGTTTTCACGGTTTTAAAGTCATCACAATTCTTCACCGGCAAGTATAGTATAAACGTATCGGAAAATTTCTTGATGGCATTGATCAAGAATTTCAGAAACAGGAGCGGCTCCAATGTTTCCAACTATTAAATATTGTTGTGCTTAATTCAATTGAAGATAAATAATTGTAATCTATAGTAATAATAATAAAAAATCTAACCTGGTAATTTACAACGTCCAAATACTTTAGATTTTTGTTTTTTATCCCAATAAGGATGATCCCCGGGAACAAATATACATGAATGCTAAAAACGATGAAAAATTAGCGTTATTTTTAATCCTCGAACTGATAATAATTGAATCTCTACTCACCTCATAATACCAATCAATAAGGTTTGTACCACGCCCGACCTTTGGCACTTCAATTTCACTTGGTACCATAATTACACCACCAACTCTATCGAGTATCATTGGCTCTATAAAATTTGAATTATTTTTTTAGCACGAAGTTTCGTGTATAGCCCAGATCGATTATTTAGATTATTTACCTCTCTCGGTAATTAGATTTGTAAGGCTAGCACACCCTATACCAGCACCTAATAAAAACACATGTCTAGCCGCTGTGTGACTATAAATTATATGCGTAAAATTAACTAACCAGTATAATCTACTATTAAATAAAGAAAATTGAGTTTCCTCTTTAACTTACAGTATCATGTTATCCCATACATATAACAACAGTTCATTTAGTTCATGACGTGATTGACTATCTCCTGGCTTTAATGAAAAAAAAATTTAATACGTTAAGGCAATATAAGGTAATAAGTATAAAAAGTCTTACATTCGACGGAGAAAAGTCGATATCAATTATAGCACAATCTTGCTTGGTTATTGTATCTATGAACCGTAACGAAGAATCAATCTATCAATTTAAAAATGTTATCGAGAATATTAGCAGATATAATACATATATACATGTGTGTGTGTGTGTGTAAATGAATCTTGAACTTCCGATATTATAGAAACTTGCCATGTACGATTTCTGTAAATTAATAAAATTTGACATCGCTTTTGTTTCCGCCCTGCAATAATCTGCAAATCAATTTGAAAATTTCTGAACAAAATTAAGTTTTTTTGCATAGTGCAAATGTGTACCTGAAATCAGCCCTAAATAATAGAGCGTAGGCTGATTAAAAAATGATAGATTATTGCTATACAATAAATTTCAATTTTACTTACGTCTCATGAACAAATATGAATATAATATTCGAAGTGAATAGGTTTTGACTGGATTTAATTAAAGTAATTAATCATTTATCATCTTTTGATACGCATATAACAATCACTAATATATATACCTGCAAGTGATTTGATTGAATTTTTTTAAATGATCATTCGATATAGGTGCTGGTACCATCCTAAATGTTTCATATAGATATCTTACTCGATATGCTTTTAACATTTCTAAGGGTAAAGAATAATTTACAATGGTTTCTATTTTATATCTAAAGAAGAGCTGTATACAAAATGGATTGTCCGAAATACCTGTCATATCGATAGCAATTTTTCCTAGTGTCCTTTCTGGAATTTAAATTCTCTAATAGTTAATATTCAAATTTCCTTTATGTTCTAAGCCATATATCTAGGGATCACACCCTTGATAACCGCGCCCATATCTTGATCACACCCTTTACGCCCACAGTAATATTTTAATTTTCTCATACCTTCAGCAATTTCTACATGTTCCGGTGCCAATGATTTCCAATAACGCGATTGCACACGCAATACATTATGAACCGTTTCCATGCAATCTTTACTTGGTTTGATAGGAGGAAGCCTATCGGGAGCTTCGCCGAGCAAGACTTTAACGCAAGCTAGAGCGGATCGGCTTATAGAATCAATATTATAACCACCCTAAATTTTTTGCAAAATTTTAATCCTCAAAGTTTAGAAATTGATAAGTTTACTAACTACAAACCTCTAGTGCTAACACCAGTCTTCCATTGGCTATACTTTTTAATCTATGTGTCATATGCCCAAAAGCTATTGGTGACACATGATTTTCACCAATTGGATCGCCTGAACGTGAGGAGTTTAAAATCAATTAAAATCTTGGTCAATATGAATTTCAATTGGTGTATTTAAATTTACCTTCGGCCGCATCAAATCCCGCCGATACTATAACAATATCAGGCGAGAATTCATCAGCTATAGGCATTACAACTTTATCGAAAGCGTAAATATAATCACTGTCATACATCCCAGCACGAGGCCAAGGAATATTAATTGTTCTAAAAATTATATAACAGATAAAAAAAATGAATTAAAAAAAATAAAAAAATAAAAAAAAAGAAAACATAAATTACTTACTTTCCTTTTGCCTCACCGGATCCAAAGTAAGTATAATTAGCTTGTTCAGAGCCAGGATAAAATTCTCCATTCTCGTAACGATGTATTGAACAGTAAACTACATTTGGATCATTATAAAAAGCTTTTTGTGTTCCATTACCTATTGATAAAACAAAAAGCTTATTAATTTTAATACAACATTAATAGGAATTTTGAAAATTTTTCAATTACCATGATGAATATCCCTGAAGTAATGAAGAAATGAAGAGATGTCGATATTAAATATTGATTTAAATCGTAAAAAAAATTAATCATTTCTTACCAATCCAAAATTAGTATTTTATTCACATGATGATATTCCCTTAGACATTTTGCTGTGACAGCGACATTATTAAAAAGACAAAACCCCATCGCCTCCTCAGGTTCAGCATGATGTCCAGGCGGACGAACATTTGCAAAACCATTTGTCACTGTCCCTTGCATAACCGCCTTGCATAGTTCAATCACTCCACCACACGCAAGGCGCGCACAAAAAGCGGAATCATTATTTAAATAAACAGAGTTATACTGATCGCCAGTTTCAACTAGCTGTTCAAATTTCATTCCTAAAAATTTCCATCCAAATCGTATTATTTGTGCGCCCATAGTAATAAATAAATGCATTAATTTAGATAATAGGGAATTTTTGATAAATTACCTGCAGTTTTATCCACTTCGTTCCAGTGCTTTACAGAGTGCACTAGACATACCTCTTCTTTAGTGGCTTCTCTAGCCGGTATTTTTACAAGTCTTTCGGTGCAGTTGTAAGTTTCCAAGATCTTTGCTATCCCACTTATTCGACTTGGATCTTCGGGATGGTATTCACCTTCGTGTAAATTGCCGTGGTACCGCATTCGTATGTCATATACAAAGCCCGTTCGACTCTCTTTAAAAGGCTGCGGATGGTACTTTTCAATACCATTTGTAGTTGTTTGCGAGTCAAGTCCCGGTCTTTTTAAAGTTCTATTTGTCCTTTCATTTAAGTTTGGTTTATTTGAATCTACGACGACATAAAGTTCTTCAACGTCCATGTTTTCTACAGACATTTCAGTAATTGTCGCTTATGTTAACTCGGTTTAAATAAATAAGTTCTATAAATCACTATATTAAGATATCTATATCTCTATTATTGTTTCACAAAGGGTCCTCTTATGCAAGGTCAAGGCCTAAGTACCAAGATGCAAAAAAGAAATAATCTCCTGGAAATTTTTTTTCTTAGTTTACACAAGGTTTTTAATTTGATACTTCAAAAAACTCGGGTCGGACGTAAACTTTGTTTTAAAGAATAAAAGTGATAAAAAACAATAAAAGCTTCAAAGGCTTCTAGTTATTTGTTAATGTCCTCAAAGGGCACCGCAAAATCATATGGATCTCAGGTCACATGTGAGATTTATTCGCGAATTAAAAATGTTAGATTTAAGAGTATCATACTTACGTTAATGAAAGAAAATCAAAAATGTTTAATAATTTCAATATATTATAATATAAACATGACTCAAAATGATGATTTTTTATTATATACAGTCGGTGATGAAAAAACTTAATTTTTATCTAATGAAAGATTATTTAAATAATATAAAAATATATATATATATGTTCTTTATTTAAGACTATTTACTAAATAATATAGTATGATCCAGTACAAAAATGTAAATACATGAAAATAGTCATTATAAAAATTTTTAATTATATGAATATAATTTTAATTATTTTATATAAAATATAAGTATAATTAATAATAACTTTTTAAATTCTTATTTTTTAATTTTTTTTGTAAATTTTATATAATAAATATTTGTATTACTAATTTAATTTGCTAAACTTTGGAATTATATATTTAATAATATACTTGCATAATATAAACTCTTAAAATTGCAAATTTATAATAATATCTAAATCATTTTTAATTTTTTAAAATTATAAATTTTATCTTTCAAGTAAAAAGTTTTGCTTTATTTATTATTAAATTAAAATATAAAAAAATATTAAAAGATTATAAATATAATAATAATTAAAAGTAATGTAATGCTTAAATTTTTTACTAATTATAATTAATAAAATATTTAAGTATTGCATTACTTTTTATTGTTACTGTATGTTTTATTTAATATAAAAAAATTATAAATATTAATTATATTTTATATAACTTTTAAAAATGATTATTAACTTTTATTAAAAGTAATTATTAACTTTTATTTTTTATATATTTATATTTTTGCATTAAATTATATTATTTTAAATTTATTTTTATATAAAAATGTTATATAATCAAATATTTATCAAAATTTATTAAAAATTTCTTATAATTTAATAAATAAATTTATTTAAAAATAATATATAACTCATTAAATTATTTTTAAAAAATTTTAAATACTTTTTTTTTATTAAGGATTTAAAAAAATGAATTTTATAAATTTTTATATTTAAATTTAAATTTATAAAAATATTAACATATTTTTTATTATTAATTATATTGTTACTTAATTTATTAAAAAAAAATCTTTTTATTAAATATTATTTTTAAATTAAAAAATTAATTTTTTTTATAAAATAATTTTTATATTATTAAATTTTTTTAAAAGAAATAAAAATAAAAATTTTTTTATATTAAAATTTATAATTTTATTAAAAAATAATTTTTATTTTTATATTAAGATAAAGTTTATAAATTATAATTTAATATATATTTTTTTTAAATATTACTAAATTTTTTTTGAAAGTTATTTTAATTATAATAAAATTTTATTTTAATTATATTTTTAAATTGAATTTGAAAATATAAAAATAAAAATTATTTTTTAATAAAATTATAAACTTTAATATAAAAAAAAGATTTATATTTATTAAAAAAATTAATTTTTTAATTTTAATTTAATAATTATAATAAAAAATTATTAATTTTATAATTTTATAATGTTAATTTTGTTATGATAGTATTATTAGTTTTGCTATAATAGTTTTACTAACTTTGCTATGATAATTTTATCATGATTATTATACTTACAAAATCTTCTAAAAATATCTACAAATATTATTCTCTAAAGCTAATATCCAATAAGATATAAATAATTATTCATCTAATTATATTATAATATGAAGTGACCAATAATATAAATTTAACTAATATTCTATTAAAAGTTCATATCATAATAGGATCCTCTTCATTAGTATTTTGCTTTACAAAATTTAAAGCTGAATATCAGATTTCTACTAAATTTAATAGTTCTTTAAAGTTATTATTTGTTATTCTTTCAAGTTTTGTTAATGATAACTTTCTTAAACTTAGTATTAATTATTCTAAAATATGTTAAAATAATCTACTAGTTCTACTAATAATTTTTCAATATCATGATAATATATTTTTAGTCATAACATGACTAAGCTTGTGATAAAAAAATAGCTTTTCTCTGATTAAATCTATACTCATTTATAACAAATTAGAATAATTATATTAGATTTATATTTTATTTTGCAGATTACTACTGTGTCATATATTGTATTACACATGACTTACTATATTACCTGATTATACCTAGAAAAGTCACATGATATATTTGAGTTATTTTAACTATAGATAGTTTTCTTAGTAGAATTTCTCTTTTCTCTTGTTCTACTAATTTAACTAATATATTACTAAATTTATATATTTCATTTAT